GGTTGTTTTTCTCTTTGTTTCTTTTTGTCCACCCTAAAAAAATGAAAAAGAGGTGAAATAGGTTCCCGACTCGCAACAAGCGAGACCCACAAGACCAAGTCAAAAAAAGGTAAGTGTAGGTCCGAAAGGACTTGTCTGTGCAGTCGCCGCTTGGCAGGCGGTCCAATGTCCATTTCGGCCTGTATCGTCTTCGGGAACGATGGTGTGAACAACTAATCGGCGTATATGTTGGCCAATCTTGAATCGTTCATACAAAGCCCACACCATACTTTCTTAACTTCCTTCCACCTCCATTCCTCCATTTATTCCTTCATTCCTTATCTGTTACTCCTTCTCTTTCTGTCCTTTCTTTCTTGTATGAGCACCTAGGATTATCATGCGACGGCCACGTCTCTTGCTCGGCTCTCTCCAAAGGTAATTGGGTAGTTTATGGTTGGGATGGGAGAGTGAATGCTTGTTGACAGCGTACGTATGGATCGTGGACAATGTGTTCCTACGCCGCCTCGTCTGGGGGTAGAGTGTGGTCCTGGCAGATGCACCGATCGCCTTGAATCAGCACTCAGGTCGTCTTGAGCAGGGCTCTTGTCGGCCCAAGCCTCCTTGCCGGCTGTCTCGGGCTGGACTACCCGAGGGGGCCTATGTAATAGGTCTAGGGGTAACAATAGCTCAGAGCCATTCTCTCGGAACAGCCTGACTACCCAATGCTTTCTGTCTTTTTTCTTTTTCCTTCTGTTTAGATGGCGAGCATGTCAAGATATTTTGGATTCAATCTTTTTTTCTTTTTTTTTTTCAATAAATCAATTCTCATTGTGAATAAGGATGGCCATGATTTTTTCTGCAGTTTGAGCTTGTTGATAATGAATGTTGACCCTTTTGTGTATGTGTGTGTTTTTATGGGCCTCAAAGAAGGGTTGTCTCATTCTTCGGTGCGCATCCGTCCGCAGACTATGAGACGCGGCTGCCCGTTGCCCGCACAAACTGTATGAACAATTGCGATAGTACGTTCGAAACTACTACTCTCTTTGAGGCCCGTAAACTACTAATACTACTAATGACTCTACTACTATTACTCCCTGTTTCCGAAGCAAATAGTTTCTTTATGCTCTATTGCTGCAACGGGCGGCCGCGTCTCGCAGATCGCGGGGTGAAGAATGGATGAAACCCTCTTTTGGGGGGCCGTGGAAAAAAAAATTCTGAAGGGCAGAACAACTATTTATCGACGTGGGTCGACAAGTAGATGGTGCATGGGGACAAAAGGGAAGGAGGGAGTCGACGAGGTCGACCGAGGTCCGGATGTTTAGCGTTTTTTTTCGGGCCGCAGCGAGAAGAGCGGCAAAAGGAACGGACAGCGAAGAGGCAAAAGGAATGGTGAAGAGAGTGGGATTCGAACCCACGCCTACGAATAGACTGCGGCCTTAACGCAGCGCCTTAGACCAACTCGGCCATCTCTCCAGACGAGAAATCTTGAATCTGGTACCGTGAACAGATCGCGTGACCAATATCACGTGACAAACTGGCTTCCACCATGCCTTTCTCGCCTTTTTTTTTTTTTTACGAGGCCAGAAAAAAAAAAAAAACAAATAGCGGCAACTGGACCCCAATCATTCAACACTTGGATCCGATCTACTCCGTTCGCGATATTAGAAGCTTTGAGTAACTCTATCGACGGCGTGAGCGAACGATTGGAGGATATGATTTCGGACAGACCATGCTCGACCTCCCCCAGTTTGTACTTTTTATAGTTGGTCAGTACGGGACCGGTACTGTGTCCCTCACAACAAAGAGCCTCTTTGACACTCTCTAGAACTTGCTACACACCAGTCAGTCGATAGCCACAAAGGTTGCCCCACAAAATCGTCGAGCACATGGAGAAAGGAAGCCTGCGACAAAATCTGGAAGCCGAGATGCGAGGCTACGGTCGCATGGGAACAGATGTACAAGATCAGGGCCAAGCGCAGCAAACACCCTGCTGCAGGCACATAACGCTGGACAGGTAGCTACTAGCTTTCTACACCCACAAAACTCATGCTACTGCGGTCGCTTTCATGCCGCCAATGAGCCTTGCTTAGGTTCAGTGGACCCCATGCGAAAAGCTGGCGGCCACCTCGTGCAAGCAATGCTCGGTTATAGACACCTCACGATGATGGAGCGTGTAGATATGTTCCTTGTCAAGTAAAAAAAAAAAAAACACCGGCGTTCAAGTTCTACCGCGACTAGGAGGTTCGCAAGTACGAGATGGTTCATCGAGCCGAGTCCTCCATCCTTGCTTGACGTGGGGTCAGCAACCAAGGTATGATAACATTCCTGCAGTCGCTCAACAGCCACAAAAAGGCTCCAGCTAACCTTTAAAATGACGGCTACTGATTTCCCGAGATGCAGTTCGGCCGCGCCCGTGGAAAGGAGGAGAAGATGGACACTGCTGTCCAGGGTCTGATCGACGTGTTTACACAAGCAACGGTGGTCAGCTCAATCCTGACGTTCTAGTCTCTATTGGCCTCGATGAGTTTAGCGCCAGCTTTGAGTTGATATCGTTGCATGGGACGTACAAGAAAAAGACCAGTCAGGAGAGTGAGTGTCGCTTTTATAGTGTGTACTCTCGAATGGTGAGCTAAGACCAGTCTTAGCTCCGTTGCATGGGGGTACACTGTTCTAGGTATCAACGAGAAATACATCTCAAAATGTTGCTAACGAAAAATGGCAATGTTCGATTTGGGCAATGGGGCAGGTTATTTCGCCAGCCATCCACAATTATAACAACTCGAGCAATTGCGGGCAAAGGTATGTGGACATGGTGAACTACCGCTTCCTGCATCATCGTTGATGCTGGAACTGGACAACATTCCATCGAGATACTATGGCTTGTCAAAACATGATCAATTACACGCTTCATCACCTTCACCTTCACAAACGGATCCCACCCCTCGTAGACTAGTTTTTCCTAGCGGGATTTTGGCTGGCCTAAACCAGTCTCACAATTTGTAAATATAAATAATTAAGAAGTCTCCACGGCATACTCTATGGCGCCCATCGCCCCTCCTAGAACAATCACGAGCGGCGCAGGGACTCCCAGATAGCCCGAAGCCACAAAACCTGCACTGGCAATAACGATATGGTATCCGTCTGATCCTTGGAGCGTGGTGATCTGAACCCAAAGGAGCCACACTGCCGAAAAAACGAGGCCTAGGGCTGCGGCATTCACGCCTCGAAAGACCATTTTGACAGCAGGCCTGTCTCTCAGAGCCTGCCAGAGTGGAAGGATGGCGCACTTGAGCAAAAGTCCGGGGGTGAAAATGGCAACGTAGCAGAGAAAGGCACCGAGGATGCTGGCACCGACGCTTCCAGAGGTGGTGTTCATCATAGCGACGGCGCCCAGGAAAGCAGCAAGATTGAAGTTTGGTCCTGGTAGCGCTTGAATCAACGCCAAGCCGACCAAGAACTGGGAGTCGCTCATCCATTGGGGCTCAACCATGTAGGTCCGCAGGAGTGGAATAATGACAGGGCCACCACCAAAAATGATGGAGCCTACAAAGTAAAACGTTGCCAACAGATATCCATAGTCTGCCTTGGGTGGGACTGGGATGGTTGCTCGGACGACGATCGAGGCAATTAAGAGAGCAGAGAAGACAGCCAGAAATCCAAAAGCAAGTTTGGGAGAGTAGTTGTACAAAGTAGGGGTCTTGTGCATGAGCGAACCAAAGTCAAAAATGGCGTGCGCACGCAGGGGATATGATATACAAAGGTTAGAGATCTCTCGCTTTTTTTTTTTTTTTTTTTTTTTTTTGCGTGGAGATTAAAAATTCTAGGAAACAACTGCTCACCTGAAAAGCAGCTGAAGATGCAACATCTTCTTCTCCAGAGTCGATTGCAGATGCACTTGGTTCCTGACTTGGTTCCTCACTTGTGGGCTCTTCTTGCTTCTCAGGCTCGATATTGTCTCCGGAGGGGGCGACGGATTCGGTGACGGGTTCGCTCTTGTCAGTGTCTTGCTGCAGATCGCCCTTATTCTCCAACAGCGATTGCGATTCTCGTCTGTGCCTGGCCATAAAGGGTGTCCAGAGAGCATCAAATGCCAAGCTGCACAGGCCACCGGCTGCCATGACGACAGGGAGTAGCCAAGCCGATGAATAGAGGGCTGTCACTCCTCCTGAAACAAGCGCCAGGATTCTGGTGAGCTTGTCTGTCGCCAACGTAGTCGACATGCGGTAGGCAGCCAAGGCGACCAGTCCAATGGCTGCTGAGGCAAGGCCCTGTTCGAGTCGTTCCGCCCACAAGGGGATTGTCTCGCCGACTATACCGATCAAGGCACCAGCAACGGTCATGACTAAGAATCCAGGGACACTATTTTTTTTTGAGATCAAATTTGGGCCTTTCTTAGGTTTTGATTCGGAGCACAAAGATAATTTTTTTTTTCAACCTTCCATTCTTACCTCCATAGTAAAAATGCAAGAAGCGCGCACGCAAAGCCATTGCGGACAAGAGCAATGCTAAAGGCGAGTTCGGTGCTGGCAGGGCCCGGTAGAGCCTGACAGATGGCAAACAACTCTGTGAACTGCTCGTTTGAGACCCAGTGGAGCTTGGTGACCACCTCGTCGTGGAGAAGAGCAACATGGACTGCAGGTCCTCCGAACGCAGTGTAGCCAAACTTGGTATAGGTCTTGATGATCTCTACGGCTCGCTGGCTGAAAGGAACCAGGACCACCCTCGACAAGGCCCCATCCTGAGGCAGTTGTTGGTGGAGTTGCTTCTCGGGGTCGAATGCCCTTTCAGTGGCCATTTGGGAAGAAAATGAGAGTGCAAGGGGGATGATGAATGAAGAAAAGGATGAATTCAAGCAGACCTGCGACCCTAACGGGTGTGGGTTACTGGTAAAAGAGCACTCCGATGATTTTCCATCGGAGAACTTTAGTGTTCTTGGGCCAGTCCTGGCACTCTCGCGCACCTCGTGGCGCTCCTACCTTAAAATTCTTTGAAACTTTGATTCTTACCTATCGTCACTCCATTGATTCTCCATTCACAGTAGTCGATGAAAGAAATGACTCTCCACAACCAATCTCACGAGTCTGCTGCATTCGAGCAAGAACGGACGAGGCTCGTGGGCGAGATCACTCAGGTAGCATTCATTGTTTTAGCAGATTGACAACATTGACTCGCCATGGTTGCAGGTACATGATGGGGAAAAAAAAACTCACTCAGGACGGCGCGAATCGTGTTTCCAAACTTTTCATGTGTATAGGAGCTCGGCCAGCTCATCGCGAATGTCAACCTGCTGAACCGAAACCTGGAGACAATCATCACCATTGGTCAAGACTTTGAGCAGCTATCTCAACTATGGCAGAGCTTCCATACATCACCCTTCCAGGAGCAACTGCAGCAAGAGTTACTGCGACTCGAAGAGGCGGAAAGTGTTGCGACGGTTGAGATCCACGAGCGAGCGTCGCCAGTAGATGGAGAGTAGCGCGGGTACAGACAGGACAGGAAGACAGCGCTGGCCTTGTGGAGGATGGCATTCTGTCTCTCTCTCTCTCTCTCTCTCTCCTCTTCGCGTGGCTGCATGGGGGCTGTAGTACGTACTTTGTTGCTTGCTCTATGTGTCCAAATCTCTGTGCACATATGCTGCACACGTACCGTACTCTTTGCACATCTTATCCTCCTCATCTTTCGTTGCCAGGAGGGCGCAGACATGTGTAATTGGCTTTTTTCTTTGCATGTTTGGCCTCTCTCTATAATCATGGCAGCATTTCGTCCAACCTGCAGGGCTCAGAGTGGCGCTGCAAGTGAGAGAAGGAGGCAAAGATAATAGATAGAAAGGATATGTCTATGTATTTTTTTTTTTTTTTGAACAACAGGCTTCATGTCTGCAGACAATGCGCTATTACCATCTAGCACCACTGGCTTGGAGATGATCTGTTGGAGAGAGAGAGGGAGAGAGAGAGAGAGAGAGGAGATAGAGCATAATATGCTCCGTGGTCGACAGTAAAGCAGTAAAGTTGGTTGGACATGACATTCATGACACCCCGGGCGAGCGGATATTATTTTTTTTTAAATTGAAGGTTTGAAAGCCTCTTGTTCTCTTCCCCAGGGACAGGACAAGAAGACAGGACAGTGGACAGGACAGTGGACAGGGCAATGACCAGGGCGTCGTCGTCGTTGACAAGAAAGCCCAAGATTGTTTGAGCGTGCCCAATTCACCTCTTCACCTTTCCCACCCCCCTCGACTCTCTCTGTCTCTCTCTGTCTCTCTGTCTCTCTCTGTCTCTCTGTCTCTCTGTCTCTTTCTCTCTCTCTCTCTCTCCTCTTCCCTTTTTTTCTTTTCTCCCCCTTCGTTTCTCGACCGGAGGTACTCTCCACCCACCTCCTGTCTCCAACGGTCGCCGAGTGCATACCCTTGAGCTGCTTCGGTATATTGACAATCTCCCACCACCCACACAATTACACACGTCCGTGCAGCGAAT